TCTGTCACATACGATCTCACACTTAGTCCTCGTCCATATTTAATTCTCTAAGTATAGTTGTCTACAGGAAATTAAGAAAAATCATCCTGTAGCATAGCTTTCTTCAATAGGGTAGTATTACATTCCAGTAAATATTCCTTAAGGACGTTCATCACATAGGTTTTTTTGACAGATATTATTTAAACAGAAAATGTACATTTAAATAGCGTCAAAAGTACCCACGAACAATGAAGTTCGTTTTACTGTACCATTATTTAATACATAATGCATTAAAAAAATAGATATTTTACATGTAACCTATTAAAAAAATACATTAAATGGCATTTATATGATTGGTAGAAATCTCCTAATTCTTTGGGTACAAAAGATGACTTTTAGATAAACTTAAACTTATCGAATTTTCAAATAGACCCACAAGTTGGTTTTCAAACAAATTTATACAGAAGGGATAAAGTGTGCGTAAAGACATGTATGTGAGTACATCTACATGAGTAAGACATTTGCTAGCTTCACTGCACAAATAAGCGTTCCTCTCACTTCTCTAAACTTTTTTCGCAGTAACTATGTAATAAACGTTTTAAAATTAAAAAATCATTGTTATCACGAATGAAATAATTGTAAGAGAATAAAATACAATATGAATTCATTATTATAATAGTACACTACAAAAAATTTTTTTTCGATTTTTGAGAATTACACAGTCAATAAAAATTTACATTAAAGATAAGGAACAAACTGTACGACAAAATGAAGTTATCGAGTTTCTTATATCGGGCATGCTTATAGCAGAGTTGGTAAGAACCTCGGTTGGTATGCAGGAGGTCGAGGATTCAAATCTATTTGCAAACAGTTTTTTTTTTTTTAGAATTAGACATAAGCCAAAACATGAGTTCACGCCACTTTAACCTTTGAATTATTGGACTTCTAAGTACTTATTTTTTCAACAGTAAATGAATTATTATTAGATGCTGAGTAACGCAAAAGGTTCTTTGACAAAAATAAAACATTTTCAATTTGAAAAATACTGGCCCACACGCACATGTTGAGGTTAAGAGCACCTTGCTCTAAAAGCTTTTAAAGGTATAAATATGTTCTTACAACTAGTAGTATTCAACTCCTCAAACTTTGCAAGTTATCGTGACTGTTTACTTTAAGATCTAGAAAAAATTTGAGACCAGTTTGCTGCAATCAATGGATTCCTAGCGGTGGAGTAGTTTCTTAATTTTCGGTACTACATCTAGATTTTACACTGGAAGAGTAAATTGAACTTTCTTATATCAGTCATTTATTCTTTAAAAATACACTTAATCTGTAATATAAAACGAATAAAATTTTTGTATTCTGTGGAGATCTCGTACACTTAAAATTAAAAAGTTGACATAAGATACGGCTAGGAGCTTAGAATAGACTAGTAAAGAGTTTGTACTTGGATACCCGAGTATAAGGTATACTTCTATAGAATTATGTGGCGAAAAATATAATTATGAGTATAAAAACATCTCCTATGAAATAATATCGTGTATGAAGGTGGTTCAATTATAGTGGGACGAATAAGTATATGTTTGTTATATGGATGTAGTTTTAATGAATATTTCAATGTTTAACTGGCACCAAGACCGAAAGTTGCTTAGGTTAAAAAACATCGCATGTTAAGTGGTATAAAAACTATTTTAGAATTTTTTTTTTAACGTAGATAATATAAAGTTCTATATTGAATATTAAGAGACTTAGTCGACCGTTCAACATATCGTGTATAGAAAGTATTTCAGATTTATTAAGCAACTAATATAATTATTAAGTTATAATTACTAAGTTAAAATAAGAAACACCTTAGTTGACTAAAAATGTATTTTTATTTACACAATTATTTACATATTTTATTGTACACATCATATATGACAAATACATACAACGTATAGTTGGCCGTGTTCAAAGCATGGTTTTTTAAGTCAACGCCGAGGTATTGGAAAGTTTTACCCTCTGCTTTATTGATAGTCATGCCGTAAGACACCTTACTGGAAACTGTAAATTCGTGGTATAAGTATTATTTTTTCTTTTTCTTTATCTGTTATTATACTGACTTCGATGATGTTATTTAGTATTTGTGTGATGCAGAGTCTCATACCATTACACAATGTTGGCGAGTTCATATTCTTCAATAAAACAATTGGTGAATAAACTTTAAGCTTAAGGCAGTGTCATGGCATTTCTGGAACATTCAGTAAGTTCCAAGAGTCAGTAGGTAAATTACTAGTTTATTGTTTATCAGTCACTGTATCAATTAATATGTAAATTTTCGCTTCTCCCAGAATCATTTCCTGGATGATGTTGTTAATGTCACTACCAATGACGTTTCTTGTAGCTAGTATGATTTGTTCATGTCACCATTCTGAATAAGTATTATTCTCAGCAATTCTATCTGCCAGCATTGATTTAAAAATGACATGTAGCATTTGACAGAAATTGCCTAATAGTATTAACAATACGCATTTCATTATATTCGTGCTGTCACGTCAATCTTGAAGTGTTTTAATGAGTGCTTCTAGTGATATTATATGGGCGATTATGCTTTCATCCCATTGAATAGCTTTGCACTGTTTTAATATTTATCCACGTGCTAAAGATTTTGTAATTTTACATACCTGAAATTCATAATTAGTTACATTTAATGGTAATTTTTAGCCTTTTTATTAATAAAGGCTTGTTTTGTTGGGTATAGAGCCTCAATTGAAGATATTATAATTTGCTCCTATCCAAAATTCACTGTTCATAGTATCCAAATAACTTTGTTAAGGAGATTGAACACCTTGTTATATTAACATTTGGTTCTAAGTTGTTAAACATTTACGTTCTATCAATATCAAAGCTTAGTTAAAGATTTTTTCTAGAGAAGTCTTAAGCACGTTGATAAGTTAATTATGATTATGAAGTAGACGTTGTAATTCTTGAATAATATCTCATTGTGGTTCCTGCATATTGGAGCAACGTTGGTCTGTTTCAAGTTCTCGTTACCAACAAAGTAAACTTGAAGAAATTTTTAAATTTGATTAGACATCAGCAGAAGTAAGCTTACGCTGTGATGAAATTGTCCTTGAACCTTAAAAACTAGGCTGAAATTTTTATCTATCATATTGGTGAAGTTCCAAGTAAAGTCATCTAAAAACAACAGTTGTATTAACGTATATTTAGTAAAGAATCATTAGAATCTGGTATTTTTCCAGTCATCTAGCCAGAATTTTAGTTTTTACACCATAAAACACCGGAATTTCCAGTAGCAGAAGACTCTTTAACATTCAAACAGTTGACTGTTTTTTATTCGTCAAAATGACTTTGTTTATTTCATTACTTTCAACCCTTAATTTCAATTGATCTTGTTATGACTGCTTAAAGGGCTAAATGGACCAAAAAATACTAAATTCCGTTCTGCATACTATAATACATTGGAATTTGGAGTTCCAGAACACTCTATAGTATTTAAATACTTTTCCATTTTTAAAAATAACTTGAATTTGTGTAATAACTGTTCACTGTCAATTTTAATTTATCTGCTCTCGGCTATGAACACAATGAATCTGACAAAATGTCACTGGATTTCCATTTATACAACGTCTAGTACTAAAACCAATGGTACCAGAATACTCTATAATATATTTAGATATACGTCACTTTGGAAGTTAAATTTGAAAATTTACCTTGATTAATCGTTCTAGACTATTGAAAAACCATTTTGGAACGTTCAAGACTGTTTATGATAAGGATAGACATGTATAATACCCTATGCCTTTATAAAATAATTCTAAACATTTTTATAATTTTCTAAAAGATTCTAGATATTCAATTAATTTTAACGACTGTTGACATTCTGAAAGTTTTCAGATTATTTCAACCCTCGGGAAGTTAACTAAAGTTGGTGGTTATAGAGAAAACTGCATCTTTACGTACTAATATTTGCATTATACACACACACACATACAAGTAGATAATACATAACCCATCATAAACAATATATTATGGCACAATACAATACAAATAGTACATAGGCTGTCTAGAACACGACTGTATGCTTTCATCGTATCTTCCAACGATTTTAAAACAACTTTCTACTGCTTATGCAAATTGCATCTCTAACGTCACCCCTCACATTCATCACATACACTCACATACTTATTCCTTCTTCATATTAAATATCCGAAATATATGAGCATTAAAGAAATGAGGGAAAACCATTCTGCAGTACCGCTTTCTTTAATAGGGTAGTATTGATGCCAGTAAAAGCTTCTATAAGATGTTCATGAATCATAGGTTTTTTGAACAGGTAATACTTGCATCGAACATGGATTTGGAAAAGCGTGAAAAATGTTTTTAAGAAAATGGAGATCAGTTTTATTCTACTGCTTGCTTGGCACATAAAAAAGTGTATTTGCATGTTTTGTTACAGTTTAATTGCATGCACACATTTATATAAATGATTTAGCTCAAATAATCGAGTAAAGTGTTGGGGTTTTATTAAATTTTATTTTACAAATAAATAAGCAAATTTTTTTAGGAGTTTGTATAAAGTTATCTGTAGTTAGCACACGACTAAAATTATATGTATTATACTAATTACTAACTATGTCAGTATCCTTAGCATTGTAATAAAACGTACAAATGCTGGTGTTAGTTGTCTTTATTGGTGATTACATTGCTAGCATCCCGCAATGATAAGTTCTAATTAGCGATAGAGAACGAACTCATTCCCGTCCTGTTTTTTTCTTATTTATAATATTTACTTTTTATACACTTCGTGCTCTGAACTAGAGACATAAGACTATAAATCATATGTAAAGGTCAAGCTTGCTTATAATGAAGAAATTGCGTATGTGTGTGTGTGCAATATAACAGCACACACATACGTGCAAATAAATTTTTCGGCATAAGTTATCAAATAAAGTGTAGGAGTTTGATAAATTAAAGAATTTTTTTACTTTCAGTCATTAAAAATTTAGTTATATCTAGTGATGAGGCAAATGCATGATTATACACTTGGGGACGAAGTACTTTTCAATACTGATACAATCACGGAATGTACACCGCCCACTATAAGTGGTAAGCAGAATGTATTAGTATATTAATTGATCAGATATAATTTTTACATTTTTACTTGCAGAGGATAATCCACAACCATCGACTAGTGGTTTAAATCGACCGATATATGAAGATATTAGTGGTGATGATGAGAAACTTTCAGACACGGAAGAAGCAAGCGAAAAAGAAGATTGTAGTAGTAGCAGTAGTAGTAGTAGTAGTGGTAGTAGTAGCAGCGACAGTAGCGAGGATGATGGTAAATATTATGAGATGCATCTATTTCTTTAGTTATTTTCAAATATTCAAAATGTTTTTTAAGAATTACCGTTGCAGAATGGCGAAGGCGATCGTCCACGTTTTATCATCGAAAACATAACAACTAGACGATATCGTCGATTTAATTATGAAGGACGAGAAATTTAAGGTAGATTGGCAAGACCACCCCCAAATGTTAATTTATACGCATGGCTTGAGGATTGTATGAATGATTTGCATTATCATTTAGTCAAAAAAAGTAATCCTGAAGACTTTATAGGTGTTACTATAAATTCTCAAATGTTTCATCACGGTCCGTTGTGGATATCTTTTAGGCCTACTCGAAATTTTATTGTTGAAGATTTATAGGATGTTTTGTTAAATGTCATCCAGAGTTTGAGTGACTTTGAAATCGATGACAGTTTGACAATTAGTTGTGCCATTATAAGTGGCATCAGTGGAAGAGGACGTGTAGCCTTGACTGAGAACAACGTACGGAAAAAATCAATATTAACCATCAATAACATTGATGATCTTTGTTTGCCACGAGTTCTAGCAGCAGCTTACGCTTACGTCGTCCGGGGACAAATACGCACAGGTAGGCTACATAATTATTGGAACCTTATAAGAGGCGAATACGGGCCCATTAAAAAGAGAGCTGCCGAACAGCTTTTGCGATTAACAAAAATTTGTGTGCCTGATACAGGGTTTGGCCTCGCAGAAGCTCACGAGTTTCAAAACTTTTTTTCTACTCACAAGACAGCAATTGTTGTTTATTTGTTTCAAAATTTTGGGCGTGGTCATCGGCCCTTGTACGATGGTACTCGTTTAGTTTTAGAGACTTACGGACAAATCGTTTATACGTTACGATTAATGTACTATGAAAACGCTGCGCATTACGAGCCTATTCTGAATTTGATCTGCGCAAGCGGTAGTTGCGGATACTGTATACCGTGCAATAAGAGTTATTGGCGTATCGAGGATCGCAGATGCTCCAACAAATGCTATAAGTGTATGCAATCTCCTTTCTGCGATGTGACGGGTCCATCAAAAAAGTTTGATTCGTGCCATGGATTATGTTTTAACTTCACGTGTTTTGAAAATCATTTAAAAAGGGGTTCGTATAATAAATCTTTTACCATTTGCGAAAAAATCAAAATTTGCCCGTTATGTTGCAAAACTGTGCGAATATCAAACAAGAAACATCAACATCAATGCGGTATTTCTATTTGTTGCAATTGTAAAGAGTATTTACCCGTAAATCATCAATGTTACATTCAACCGTTAAAATCGAACAGCAAAAAACCTAATTTTTTAAATATTATTCTACGATTTTAAAACGCAACAGACGACACCCATCGTGGGTAATGAGGAAAAAAAATCCACTAAGTAAATCTATGTATTGTTCAACAAGTTTGTAATGCTTGTAGCAACGTACAAGATATTTCGATAAACTGCGATCATTGCGGTATTCGAGAATATATTTTTCAAACTAATCCAATCAAACAGTTGGTAGATCTTGCTTCAGATCATCAAAAATATTTTGACAAGATCATTTGCATAGCACACAATGCACAAGGATTTGATGCTCAATTTATTTTTAAGTATATAGTGAAAAAACACGGCGAACGCGTAGTACCATACGTTATCATGAACGGATCAAAAATATTACTGATGGAATTTATGAAAATAAAATTTATCGGTAGTCTTTATTACTTTCATATGCCTTTAAGCGGCTTACCCAAGTCTTACGGTCTGTCAGAAATTGAAAAAGGTATTTTTCCACATTTTTTTAACAAGCCCAAAAATCAATCGTACATAGGTCCTTTACCGCCGCTCGACGTATATTCACCCGATAGCATGCACACAAAAGATCGAGATTAGTTTTTAAAATGGTACAATGAACAAGTAGAAAAGAATTATATATTTGACTTTAAAAGTGAAATTATAAGATACTGTAGGCAAGACGTGAAAATTTTAAGATTAGCTTGCTTAGCTTTTCGAAAAACTTTTGAAAAATTCGAGGTGGACCCTTTTAGGGAATGCAAAACGATCGCTTCAACCAGCATGCGTGTGTATAGAAAAAAAATTCTGAAAAAAATCAAATTGGTATAATACCACAAAAAGGTTACAGAATGGCTAACAATCAATCTGAAATAGCTTTAAAATGGCTTTATTGGATGGAAAAACACGTTCTCCAGTGATTTATCCAACACGTTGGACACTGCCGAGAGATACGCTTACCAGAAGGTATTCTCGTCGATGAATACTGTACTCCTCTAGATGGTGTTCATAATCATCGTGGAATCGTATTACAATTCCAAGGTTGCTTTTGGCACGGCTGCCCACGGTGTTACCGAATAAACCGAGATACCATTTTGACGACCAGAGATACAATGGATGATAGATATGAAAAAACTTGCACGATTAACGAATAGATAAGAATGTCAAATTATGAGTTGATAGAAAAATGAGAATGCGACTTTAATCGAGAAATACGTGAAAACGAAGAACTTTCAAATTTTATTCGAGAAAATAAAAATTATTAAAGTAGAAAACCATTGAATCCACGTGATGCATTTTTCGATAATCAAACAGGAAACACTGTAAAAATGTACGATTGTCAGGATGGAAAAAAAATTAAATACGTTGACGGATGCTCTTTGTATCCATATGTTTGCAAACGAGGTACATTCCCCGTTGGTCATCCAACATTATACTCTAACGAAGGGGAGTGTAAAAAAATAATAGGTGACAAAAATGATATTTCCCAAGTAAATGGATTAATTATGTGTGATGTGCTACCACCTAGAAATTTGTATCATCCTGTATTACCAATGAAAATGCACGATAAGCTTATATTTCCTTTGTGCCGTACTTGTTGTAAGAATATGCTATAAGAGCACTGTACCAACGACGATGGAAGAGATCGCATTCTAAGAGGTACGTGGGTATCCGAAGAAGTAAGGTGGCTGTTCGCGTGGGTTATATCGTTAAAAATGTTCAAGAAATATATCAATACCAGGTAACACAGTATAATCAAGAAACGGATAAAGAAGGATTATTTGCACATTATATTAACGAGTTTTTTAAACAAAAAATACTAGTTTCGGGTTACCCACCTACCTGCATATCTAATGAGCAAAAGGAATTCTATATCGACGAAATCCGTAGAACTAAGAGAATAAATCTCGACAAAAATTGAGATAAACCTTAATGCTGGCTTAAGATCCGTTGCAAAATTATTACTCAATTCTTTGTGGGGTAAATTTGGTCAACGTGAAAATTTGACAAAAACTGAGGTGGTGACGGTCCCAGGAAGATTAATGGAATTAGTTACGAGTGCAGAAATCGATGTTAATGGTGTTTTACCCGTCAACGATGATACATTGTACGTTAACTGGAATTATAAGGGTTAGGCCTTGATGTCATTACTATCAAGTAACGTTGTGGTTGCCGCTTTTGTGACGGCACAAGCACGCTTAGAGCTTTTCGAGTATCTGCATTTTCTAGGAGAACTTGCTCTCTATCACGACACAGATTCCGTTTTTTATGTTTCCCGAGAAGGATTGGACGATTTACCCATTGGCACGACACTAGGCAGTCTCACTGACGAATTGGCCGATAAAGGAGTTGGCGCATACATTTCTTTGTTTTTATCCGGTGGGCCAAAGTTTTACGCATATAAGATTAAAAAACCCGATGGGAGTGAAGATAATGTTTGCAAAGTAAAAGGTATTAAATTCAATTACAGCAATAATCAAAAGATAAATTTTGACACGATTCGTGAGCTTGTTATGACTAATATTACGGAAATAAAATTGTCGAACTTTTCCATTCGTCGTACAATTTTTCATGATGTAGTGACTCAACCGGAAATAAAAAAATGTCAATCAGTCTATAATAAAAGATATTTTAACAGCATGACCACTAGTTATCCGTATGGTTTCCAACGTTATGTCGCAGGAGAAGGGATATAAATACATCAGAGCAGGGGAAAACACTCACTTGGTCGAGGTACGACAAAGCTGTTGGTTGGTTGGTTCATTTCCCTTTTTACAACCGATGCATCAACAAGTAAACGGCAAGATAGGTTCGAAGCATAGCAAAGCAAACGCTATACCTACGAGCTCTAGGAACGATGATGATGATTGTCGAAAACCGCTTATAGAAGAAGCATGTGAAAAAAAAATTAAAAATACGTTTCCCAAAATAATTTTCTGAATCAGAAAAAAAATGGATACAGAGTCATGAAAGATAGTTAATCCAATTGCAAAAATCGGTCCCTTTCAGGACCAAGACATTACTAATTTATACTAGGTAAAAATGTAACTGATTACCTGATACGCGTATTGGTGTTGCGTCGGATGTTTGATGAAATACAATAAATATTTTAAAAAAGATGACATCAGCACATTCTTCACCACGAAACTTAAACCATGAATACAAAAATCATCCTTACGTACCGAAAAGTTTATTTGATCGCTTTATACTCGCGTCAGCGCATTCTTGAAACCGTTGCGATGAATGTTTGATAAAACTTAATATATATTTTGAAAACTGTGACATCAGCACATTTTTTACCACGAATCTTTAACTTTGAAAAAAAAATTATCTCGATGTCAGTTACTCGTGCAACTTAAACCTCAAAACTGACACGAATAAGGAGAAAACTTTGTAATAAGGTAATCTTAATCATACGCAATAGATGCTCCAACCGCTGCGACGTTACAAGCCGATTGGTCGCCATCCATGAGCGATAGTGGGGCGCGGTGGTGGTGGCAGCGAAAAGAGCTCGATTGGCTGTTGAACCGACGAAACGAGCTGATTGGTCGCGCGAGTCGCCTTTGTCCTAGCCTTCCAAAAGCGCTCACGGTTTCGCGAGTGGTCCACGGAGGCCCCCGCCGCGGTCAATCAGACTTTTTGACAGAGTTTAGTTGGGCAGTATGGATACGCGATGGCAAAAACCGTGTACGTGTACACTGAGTGGACCCACAGGTTGCGGAAAAAACTGTGTTTGTTAGACGGTTTTTACGACACATTGTCCGTATGAGTGATGCTCGATTTGAGCGAATAATTTTTTGTTACGGTGAGTGGCAGTCTGGTTACCGCGATCTCGGAAGTAATATTGAGTTTCACGAGGGATTACCACAAAACAGCGATTGGGTGCGCAATCATAGATCAAAACTGATTATTATTGACGATTTAATGTGCGAATCATTCGGTAGTAGCGGTATCGTCGATTTATTTACTAAATGTAGTCATCATAACAATTTGAGCGTAATTTTTATCACGCAAAATACATTTCATCAAGGTAAGGGTCAACGCGATATATCACTAAACTCGCAATACATTGTCATCTTTAGAAATTTACGAGATCGCGCTCAAATTCAACATCTTTCGAGGCAAGTGTGTCCAGAAAATCCTCGGTTCTTGCAAGAAGCTTATTGGTACGCTACTTCCTGGCTATTTGGTTACCTTTTCTTGGACCTCAAACAAAATACACCGGATAATTGTCGATTTCGAACTTGTATTTTTCCAGATGACGAGTATCTGTACGTATACGTGGCTAAGAAACAGATGAAAGGAAGCGACACGACGAACCATGTTCCAATCGTATCGTTGTTATGGCACCAAAGTCACGTTTCCCGTTTGGTCAAAAGCACGTAGCCATTTTGAGAGCTCTTTATTATCTTGACACCGAACAACAGAGAGATCTGTTGCGCAAAGCAGATATGACGCTAATCAAGCATATTTGCGAGTGTGCATTGAACATTCTCGAAGGAAATGTTTCACTAACTGCGGCGCACGAAAAACGCTTGCGTAGACACGCCAGCGTTCTCAGAAAGCTTGCGAACGCAAAAGTTCATCCGTCGTCAAAAAAAAAATCATCGTACAACAGGCAGGGAGTTTCTTACCTGCTTTGTTGGGTGCGCTCCTCGGAACGGTGTTGTCGATGCTGCAACAAATATGGAACACGTAAAAAAAATGATTCTTCTGCCTCAAGAAAGCGTGGATCGATTGCGAAGCGCGTTCCTCAACGATGGTCTGAAGTCTTTGCAAACGCCGGGCCCAACAATTAGTCGGCTCGACGCAGAAATAAGCGACATCTTGAATTTACGGTATACCGATGAGCAAGAAAAATGGAAAAAATACCAACAAATTTTACAACGATATTTGCACCTTAGGAAATTGGACAGTGAAAGAAAACGACATGCTGACACGATCACGGAGAACACCAAGGTATCGCAAGATAACGATCCCTCTGACGACGACGTCGACGAGGATGAAGAGAAACGTAAAAAGGTAAAAAAGCAGGATACCGAGGTTATCGAAAGCATACCGAAAAAGTTTCGTCAAAAAGCTGCACTTATCATACGACGATTGCGCGCTACTGGTAACTTTGAGTGGACCAATGAACATACCGTCATCATAGGTGGCGTTCGCATACCACAGTCGAACATTATCGATCTGGTGAACGATGCCTTGAGGAACAGAAAAAACGCACACCAGTGGGCTGTTATCAGTTTGCAGTGGCATTTCGTATGGCAAACATTTCGCAAAAGTGTGTCGGAAACGCTCAAGCATTAAAATTACTGATCAACGACGATGACGATGACGACGACGACGACGATGAATCAAAATCACTTAATAAGAGTCCGAGATCTACGTCGAATAGTGGAAGTTTTCTGGATGAAAGTGGTGCTAAATCAACAACGTCACCGAATTATAGAAAAAAATTTCAAAAAGTTGTGCCTTCGTCGATTTAAGTACAAAGATGGCGTCGATTGAGCGGAAAAGTGACCAAGGCAAAGAAACAGACGTAAAACTCGAGGAGGAGGAAAAAAATAGTGCTCTCAACACTTTAATCGACTTGCTACCGTTTGAGATACATGTACCTGGACACAAATTTTGCGGTCCTGGAACGAAGCTATCGAAGCGTATTGAGCACGGTAATGTAGGTATAAACTCCTTGGACGAAGCATGTCGTCAGCACGATCTTGCCAACGCTATGGCTAAGAAGTGTCAACGTGTAATAGCCGATCGGTCGTTGGCTGAATTTGCTTTTTCACGTATGCTTGCCAGAGAAAAACCGCCGGATAATCGAACAGTCGCTTTATTGACAGCATGCTGTATGTGAAGCAAGATTACATTTGAGAAGTTTTTTTCGCGCATCAAGAGAGCCTTTGGCCCTAAGTCTAAAAAAAGAAGAAAAAGAATAATGCATACGACATTGCAAAAACTTTACTACGAAGCGGCGCGACCAACTGCATACGCTGATGGTAACAAACTTGTAAGTGCTGTGAAAAATAAATTTTTGCGATCGAACGTTATTAGTTGGCTAGAGAGTCAAGATACCTATAATTTACATAGGCCTATAAGAAATCGCTTTACCAGAAGAAGCTATAACGTGCGTAACTTTGACGACGTGTGGGAAGCTGATTGAATGGACTTGAGAACCTTAAAAACTTACAATGATAGCTACGCTTATGTTCTCGTTGTCATCGATGTCGTCAGCAAATACTCTTGGGTGGTACCTATCAAGGATAAAACATCGAAAAACGTCGCCAAAGCATTTCAACGTATTTTATCAAAAAGCGACGATCGTACACCAATGTGTCTCCAAACAGATAAAGGTAAAGAATTTGTAGGTCGTGAAATGCAATCCATTTTACGAGAAAATGAAATTAAATACAGGGTAGCACGTAGCCCACAGACAAAGGCTGCAATAGCCGAACGTTCTATAAGAACTAATAAAGAAAGAATGTGGCGATACTTTACACACGCAAACAATTGACGCTTCGTAGACATTCTTCCAAGTATAATATAGTCATACAACCACACGAAGCATTCGTCAACAAAGATGGCGCCAGCTGACGTGACTTTGCACAATGTTGCACGAGCACGAGAAAATCTAAGGTAACGTTATGATAGGTATATTTATAAAAATCCAAAGTACAACGTTGGAGATTTAGTTCGTATCAGTAAGACAAGAAGTGTCTTTGCCAAAGGTTACGAAAGTGGTTGGACTTAAGAGTTGTTTAGAATTGTACGTATCTCTTGCACGCGACAACCTCCAGTTTATTTTCTCAGAGATTTGGCTGACGAAGACATTGACGATTTTTTTTACAAAGAAGAGTTATGCAGAGTACGAAAGGATTCGAGCGAGAGCTTCTTCGAGGTTGACAAGATATTGAAAAGTCGAGGTAAAGGACGTTCTAAAGAACTTTTCGTCAGCTAGAAGGGATATCCTGAAAAATTTAATTCCTGGGTGAAAGGTAATTATTTAAAAGACATAAAATGAAGGACGACTTTCACTTTTTGTTGCCTAGCAACAGTAGCATGCAGTATAATCCTGATAATACTACTACGCACTACGTGACAAGATTACCTCAGCAAATTAGTTTGCAAGGTCCACAGAGTGTTGGTATAACAGAAATTCAATTACCATTGACGTTTCAACATGCGATAAAAAATAACGAAAGAAAAATTTCCCTACAATACATGCTACGACTGCACAACAATGTACACACAGAAAGTCCTGTGATTCATGTAGATAATTACATACGACACGGTCTATACACAAATATCGAAGAAATGATACAGGAAATCAATAGTTTTGATACCACACGGGATCACGTGGTTTTCAGTTTGGAAAGGGGTGGTTACGTAGTGGCTTAGTTAGTCTGTTTGAAAACAGCGCGCAGTAAAAACACGTTTCGCTATTTAATATTGTCCGAAAAATTACGTAAAATCTTAGGCTTTGAAGGTGCAATGAGTCTTTTCTCAGAAAATAATGAAATTCGATCCATTCATTCAGCAAATCTCGACAATGCTTTACCGTCAATGCTCATGATTTACAGCGACATCTGTGAACCATACATTGTAGGAGACGTTGAATCGCGTTTGTTGCGGGCGGTGTCGTTGGATCTTCAAGGTTACGCGTACGGGTGTGTTAAAAATAAAATTTTCTCACCACCTATGTATATACCATTATTGTTTAACTCCTATCACAACATTGAAATCGATATAAGGGACCCAATTGGTGCCCCCACATCATTCGACTTCTGGACGCTGGTGGTAACGCTTGACTTTAAACGAATCAATTAAAAATTATGGATTCTTACTAGGACTACTTTATTGTACAAAGTGGGGGTGGTGGTGGTGAAAGTCTGACCACAATTTATGGAAACAGTGGAGGAGGTGTTGGACGCATTTACTTTGGGACCCCCTATCAACGAGGACACGGAGGTATCGGATCGTTTCTTGCTGGAGTATTTCCACGAGTTTTACCACTCATTAAACGAGGTGCCAAAGCGGTTGGCAAAGAAGCTGTTCGTGCAGGTATGAACATTATGTCTGACGTCACTGCTAAAAATATACCTTTCAAAGAGACATTCTGCACTCGCGTGATGGAGTCTGGTAATGCGCTGAAGAGAAAAGCCGAGGAAAAATTGGACAAGCTGATGGAAGGATCGGGATATAAACTCGGATGGTGCGACGAACCATTTCAGTTGCAATTGCTTCGTGGAACAGTGCAGTCAAGGCGTGGTTGGCTTAAGAGTAAAAAGAAAAAAACTAAGAAAGCGTGTAAGCAAGATAAAAAGAAGAAGAGAACAATAAAAAGAAAAAAGAAGAAGGGACAGAGAGCTGCAAGGGATATTTTTAAAAGTTAAATTTTTCAAAAATGGCTTTTTTACACAGTCACTCATACGAGTGCATAAAGTCTGAGCTTCTTTCGTTTAATAGTCCATCAACTCAAACAACTATCGAGGAATCGCATTGGATTCAATACAAGCCGATATCATCGCTTACGGATGATTCACCGATCGAATTTATCGTACCAGATAATGGTGACGAATATATTGATCTCGCGCACACGATGCTCAGTCTTCGTGTCAAGTTGGCCGTCGATGAAGATGAAGAATTAAATATTGACGTAGCATCTCAAATCTCAAAGACAAGACCAATCAATAATTTTATGCATTCGTTGTTCAATCAAATTGATGTGTTTTTTAATCAGAAACCTGTATCGCCTCCTAACAATGCGTACGCTTACAGAGCGTATTTTTAAACTTTATTGAATTACGGTCCTGCGGTGAAATCATCCCATTTAACGAGTGCATCATGGTACGACGATACGGCGACAAAGATGGACGATGTGTTGAATGCCAACGCGGGTCTCGTCAAGCGACGTACACTACTACCAGCAAAGAAATCGATTGACCTGATTGGTCATCTTCATTGTAATGTATGCAATCAAGAAAAACTACTCATCAATCGCGTCGAGGTGAGAATGTGATTAGTAAGATCTTGCAATGCATTTTGTCTCATAGACACTTCAAACTTGGTTTCCGTTCGTATCGAAAAAGCAAATCTTTTAGTGAGACGCGTTAAAATAAGCCCATCTGTTTTATTAGCTCATACCAAGGCTCTGTCGAAGGATACAGCAAAATATCCGCCCACGCGTGTCGAAGTAAAAGCTGTGACGATGCATAGTGGTATTCATGGCGAAACTTTAGATAATATTATTTTGGGTCAGTTACCTAAGCGGATAATCGTCGGTTTCGTGATAAATTAAGCTTATAATGGCGATCGTTCTATGAATCCGTTTAATTATTATCATTTCAATATAAATTTTCTTTGTTTGTACATTGACGGTGTTCCAGTTTCTTTCAAACCATTACAGCCAGACTTTAAAACGAATAATTTATACGTAGATGCTTATCATACCTTGTTTTTGGGCACGGGCGTTCACTTTCTCAATGAAGGAAACCACATTGATCGCGGATCTTATCCCAACGGTTACTGTCTCTTTGCTTTCGATTTAACACTGGATTTATCGGCCAACGAATGTTGTCATTGGAACCTAATTCAACATGGCAGTGTTAGATTGGACGTTCAGTTTACCGATGCTCTAAATTTGACTGTTAATTGTATAGTGTATGCCGAGTACGAGAATATTCTCGAAATTGATGCGTCACGTCTAATCATGGTCGACTTTAGTGGTTAGATGGCACCACTCACTACATATTTTATACTTACACTCACTACTTGGACACGTCAATCGTCTCTCGGGTTAGTTGCTGCTGGTACGCTCAATCATCCATAAATCGCAATGGAGCTCGTAGTCGAAATTCAGTATTTCAAGGTGAAGAAAGACGTAATGGTGCCAAAAGAAGTTGCTATCGTTGCTTTGAACAATTACTTTTCTGCACATTGGGTGGTGACACCTCCTTGTCGTTTGCAAAAATTGAGTAAGAAGGCGCAACGATAAAATATTTGATTGTCCAGACATTATTATTATCATGGCCTTGCTTTCTTTGAGGGTGAAGTACCTTTAAAAGCAATTTTCAAAATTTTGAATGATATTAAAAGAAGTGTGAGAAATATTTACGTCAGAGGTTGCAAAAAGTGGTACGATTTACGTAAAATAGCTCTTTGTCAAGTAATAAATTTAGAATACGATATTGACTGTCCGCCTTTAAAAGATTTATCATCGGTTGTGTATTGTATGCATCACGCATTAAAACCAAATCATCAAAAATATCGGTGTGCCTTAAACAACGCTCATAAACTGAAATTTTGGCTCTGTGAACGTGATAGACAGCCTACATATACTGCAGATTCTGTCGCAAATGACAACGCATACCACCGGTATGTTCCCAGCCGATCAGATCCCACGGGTGTGGACGAAACTGACAGCACTCGTCATTAATACTGACGATCACACAAAACCAGGTATGCATTGGGTTGCTATATACGTTGA